ATATTGTACCTTTTGTATTAAAGGATATACTCTACAGCAATGTCAAGAAAGTTAGAAGTGAATTGTTTTTGTGGGAGTTGGTGTATCTTCTACACACATCAAAGAATGTGTCAAGCAAAAAAAAAAAAAAAAAAATAATAATAATAATAATTTCCAACTTTTGTTGAGATAACCCTTACTGTTTGAAGTAACATGAGTACCAGTTTCTTTTTGTCTCTTATATGTGATGGTATCAGTTAATTAATACCGGTGTATTCATTCTCATTTCACAGGGCTATAATTCACCTCGAGAATTCCTTGTGACGCAAGGGCCGTTGCATTCCACACGAGATGACTTCTGGCGGATGTGTTGGGAGAGTAATTCTCGTGCCATAGTGATGTTAACACGCTGCATTGAGAAGGGGCGTGAAAAATGTGATCACTACTGGCCGTATGACACGATGCCAGTCTATTACGGAGACATCTCTGTACAGATACTCAATGACAGCCACTATCAGGACTGGAGCATCACTGAGTTTATGATGTGTAGGGTGAGTGTCGCCATTCGTTATGAATGCAGATACTATCTTGATAGCGTGTTTAAGGTCATGAATATTGTATTGTGGGCTGCTGTGAGTTAACATTTGATGTTAGCTCTGCGTTATGTCACTGTGTGATGTCCTTGCTGCCATTGTAAGAATAATTTAGTAGTAATTATTGTTAAGTGTTCTTTGTACAAAGTGAACATGTACAGGAGAGGTCTTGACCGTCCTTGAGACACCATTTTAATCTCTGAAGTTACCGACTGAATTTTGATGAGATTTGATATTGTGAATTTAGATTGGAAGTTACCATAGATGAACCTAAAATCAAACATGTTGATTTTTTTGAAAAGTTAATTATCACACAGAAAGTAAGTATAAAATAAAATAAAAAATCTTTCAAATCTACAACTTAAATTAAACATTTTTCCGTATTGTGAAAGTTTACTGAAATTCAAATTTAAAAAAAAATAATACTTTCTATGTATTGTGTGTTATCGGTAGTATGGTAAGCTTGCAGCAGCAGATATTTATGTTCAGTTAATAGACATCAAGGCCAGAGAGGTATGCAGAGTTGCAACAATAATTTTGAAAAATTGTCTGATAAGGGTACGGCAGCTGGAGGCTTAAAAGAGTTATTCCTGATTCTGTGGAGAGCAGAGTTTTTTCTGGAGAACTTGATAGGCAATAAACACATATGAAGGAACTTAATTATGTAAATAAAATTTTACTTCTACAACATATATGTACATGATTTAATTTTTCTGATTTGTGTTCAAGTGCACAGTTTATTCATGACTGTCAGGATATTAAACAAATGAAACTTAGACTTATATAGATTTTAAATTTAAATTGAGTAGATTTTGGAATTTCCTCCACACCATGTGTATACTCAGATTTTATAGCCCGTGTATGAAATTGTTTTGCAACACAACATTTTTTTGGGATTAAAGTAGAAGAGGGTTCATGAGACAGACTGAACCTTGTATATTTTGGTTACAGTCGCTCGTAGTTTATGTAGGCATATGTTCAGCTGTGAATAGTGGCACAATGTTTTGTATGCCAGGGTGACACTTCAAGAGTGATGCGGCACTTCCACTTTACAACGTGGCCAGACTTCGGAGTTCCTAGCCCACCACAGACTCTCGTGCGATTTGTGCGGGCATTCAGAGAACGTATTGGACCTGAACAGAGACCAATCGTTGTCCACTGCAGGTAATAAATAAGTCCTTCAGAGAGATTACCTTATATCAGATTATGGAGAATCACAGGACAGCCATGAATACAAACGAATCTGTTTCTTACTATTTTCCAGTTTTATGCTGCATTTTTTAAAACCATTGGAGATGAGGGATTACAGCAGTAAATTAGAAAGATCGTAGCCCTGAGTCTGGATGGGACATGTGAATTTTGTTTTTTCACTACATAGTTCAGAATTTCTAATTGAAAAAGACCGAGTTGTTTTCAAGCATATCTAGTGAAATGTTTATATAGGTAAGGTCTGGAGACCTTTAAAACATTTTAAATGTAATGCAAGACATTCAACATTTTCCATAATAAATAAAATAAATTAATGCTATGAGAAACCAAAGAAGGTACCGTTCACTGCATACTATTTCCTTAGTTGTATGTACAGTATTGGCTTTCGGGGAAGAGCCGTGTTCAGTGTTTTGGCAAACACCAGAAAAAACATTCTGTTTTCGGTACAGTTCATCTACAGATGCTGAAGTTGTACATTGAACTCCAGCCATTGAATGCAAAGGACAAAAATTTCAAAAGTTGGTATGAGGTACTTGCTATTTTAAAGTAATTTAAAGTGAATTGAAAGTTAAAATGTGACCAATTGAATCTCATCTTGTTATGTTTACAGTGCTGGTGTTGGCCGCTCCGGTACATTTATTGCCTTGGACCGAATTCTGCAGCAGATCCAAGTGACAGATCATGTGGATATTTTTGGTATTGTGTGGGCGATGCGTAAGGAGCGTGTATGGATGGTACAAACAGAACAGCAATATATCTGCATCCATCAGTGTCTTTTGGCAGTGCTGGAAGGAAACGAGAACCAGGGACCACCTCGGGAAATACACGACAATCAGGGGTTTGAAGGTCAGTGATCAGACATTCCTAACAAAACCTATCTCAAGTATATGATCATTTTACTTCATTTGAATCAAGAATTTTGGGAGGTTAAATACAGACTCTTAGTATCACAAGTGCTTTATTATTGTCTGGAAAAAGTAATTATCATGTATTTCAGCAGATGGACCCATATACCAGTACTATTTTATGCATGAACTGACTTCCAGGAACATTCACCCTCCATCTTTTATTCGAATATAATGTTTTCATGGTTTAGGAAATCAGAACAATCGTATTTTGGTTTGCATGCGTTCATCTCTAATATTTTCCTTTGTGTACACTATTCCATACAATAGATTGAACCTCTCTGGAACAGTAACTTCCACGTAAGAATGAAGGCTCTTGGTCCCAATGAGATCTAATAAAATATATTTACATAATTAGAACCTGTACGTAAACAACTCTTGTCTAACACAGTTTAAAACTTATCATAACTTAGTTAACCATTTGGGGTCTTTTTGAGTATTTTTTCCTGGCAGCATATAAACAGCCTTGATAAAGTCTTGTCTGTAACTGTGAAACGTCGCTGTATATGAAGATGGTTGTCCTCTGGAACATCGGTAAACTTCTGCCAGACTACGTGGCGGAACAAACCAGAAGACAGCCATCTTTGCACTCACCACCTTGAGAACCTCAGATCCTACTTAATTTGCCGTGTATGTTAAAAACATGTTGTTTATCTGTAAATTAACTAGATTGTATTTCAACTGCTTCACCGGTCAAAATTTTATTTTAGAAATACGTACATAGCAAGTAATTGAATGTAGTTGTTTCAGAAGCAAATACGATTCATACTCACATTTTCAGTTCGCCATTGGGCGTTAGATGAGTTGTTGGCTGCATCTTCAGATGCAAGATGTATTGGCCATCATACGCTTTAAAACGTAGATCAAGATAATCTGCCTTGTAAGCAGTTGGGCGATGGTGGTTTGTGCATGGGGTAATGAATGTGTTTGCTATAGGCAAGAAGCTACGGCAGACAACCTACATAGAGACTGGAGAAGTTGAGAAGCATCCAAGTCACAAGCAGAGGCTACAAAACATGTGTTCTTATCTGCAACTGGTGATGGGTTTCTGGGTAAACTAATTTACTCTTTATTTGGATGCTGCATCATGGCATGGCTGCTAGTACTGCCACGGAGTTGGAAGTCTGTCTTGCTCTGCTGGCGTTTATGTTTTGAGCTGCAAGTGACATTATGCCAGAGTACGAAAATATTTGGATTCAGAGGCAGTAGGTTTCGCGTTACTCCGATATGAAAGAAAAGAGCGATGTCTAGACGGTGATGCAAGTTAGTGTTGCGTGGATGAAGACGAGATTCAGTGAACAACTTTTATGTAGACCTCTAATATCAAATGCCATCGACATCCACTGAGTAATTTATAGATGAAACATGGGTAGGTAGACTGAGAGAAATGACTTCTTGATAATGCTATCATTTTATTTTTAAAGGTAGCGTGGAATAAAATGTAATAATTGGAGGAACTTTAGGATGACAAAATTAATAGAAAAATTCTAAGTTGGTTGGGATGATTGGAAAATCTGATAAGAGTGATTAAGGAATTTTATTGCATAAAGTCTGACATTCTTAAAATTAGACGTGCATTAGTAATTGAAGAAGGCAAGAAAATTTAACCAAACCAAATGATTTTTATACATTTGACAAACATACTTTAAAGTCTATAAAAACTATAAGATATTGGAAACTGAAGTGTTGTGTTGCAAAGCTTTGACGTAAGTACATGAAATAAAAAAGTATAAAGAGGTAGGTAGTTTTGAAATGGAAGCTGTTATGATTGACGGACAGACAAATTTTGTTTGAAGATTTCCGCCTTCTGGGTTGTTGCGCTGTGTATATTCATCGCCCTGATGACGGAGGCAGTATGACCTCTGAAACGTTGGTTTACATCGCCCAGATTACACAGCGCAACAACCCAGAATACAGAAATCTTCATACTCATCGCCCTGATGACGGAGGCAGTATGACCTCTGAAACGTTGGTTAACATCGACCAGACTACACAGCGCAACAACCCAGAAGGCGGAAATCTTCATATTCACCGCTGTGAGAACCTCAAGTCTTAAAAATTTTCTTTATTGATGGTCTGAAATTGTAGCTTCAATGAAATAAGGAAAACTACAGAATTTTGGTGAGGAATACTCTTCAAAAGCAATCATTTAGAAGACTAAGACAGAGAGGAGAGTAATGAGATAATGCATTGTAAGGAAATAGCTTTTAATAGTAGAATCTACAACTTCAGCTTTCTGGCATAAGTCACATGGAATGTTGAAAATTGTTCAGTGTTTCAGCAAACACCTTTTATTTGAATGAGTGGTTAGTCTGATAATCGTTTGCTGTATTTTGTAAGTTGTAAAGGGTGGTCTTATTGAAACAACACTGGAGAAAGCGTAAGAACTAGTAAGCTAAACATTATATATTCTTATATTTCTTATAAATTGCACTACGTACTCCATCCTGATTCAAGGATACTGTTTGGATAGTTAAATACATTTCAACAGCGATACCTCTCTGATTCCTGATATTAATTGTCTCTGATGTTTGTTGGCTTGCTTGTATTCTGTGATCTCAATTGTCTTCTTGCTTGTATTTCCCCATCTTTACTGTCTTGTTGTTTCTATTATTATTTGAGCTTAATCTTACAGGCTGCTATCTCTTTTTGACACCCAAATGTCCAATTGCTTGTTTTCATGCCATAAGATCTTCTGGTGTTTGTTTCCTGCTTGCATGAACAGATGTGAGTGGAAGGAAAATTATTTGTGATATCCTTTTTTTATACAAAAATTTCTTCTCATTTAAATAACTGGCATTTATTGATGGAAACTGACATATATAAGTGCATTTTCTTCCAGAATTTTTGTATGTATTTCCATTTTTAAAAAAAGATTGAATATTATACATTTTTATTATAGGTTTAATTACCGCTTCCAAATAACAGACGTCTTCATTTAAATAAACTATACAACAGTTTGTGTGTGTGTTTGTATATATTGTTTTATGTGACCATTTTACACCTAGTTTTGAAAATCCATTTTCATTCTTCCTGACAAATCTTAATCCCATTTTGCATGGAAATTTTTACCTTCTTTTTTTCTGCTTATGTTTATAATAAATTTTTTTTCAGTAAATCAAATCACGTGAGTCTTGAAGAATTTACGACTTTGTTTTACGTTGCAGATGACGAAGGGATAGCCGAATCAGGAATGTGAGTCTCGCCCGCCGACTTGGTGGTCAAGCCACAAACTGAGTGTTATAAGGGACGACTAGAGAGCCCACAAACTTGACATACTCCACATTGGAGGGTAAAATCTCGGTAATCTGTATGTCCTGTGCAGGGCACTTTGGACTGTTCGTACAGAATTTTAATTACTTAAGCCTGCCCAGTGACATGGACAGTGGCATCATAATACAGAACAAATGCTGCTACACTGAACTTTTCTTTTGTGCTTAGAAACTAAGAAATACTTAAGAATTCAAAACACAATTTTGCTTGGTGACCTTTGGTTTAAACTTTAACTGCAGGATATTTTAAATTATTTCTAAAATGTAGATTGGTTTTTTGTTGATGGCTGTCTTGTGGGGTGTAGCACCACGTCACATGGTAGAAGTTTACCAGGCTACACAGCGCTACAACCTAGAAGATAGCCGTCTTTGTACTCACCACCATGAGAACCTCAAATCTTACTTATAATCTGTTGGAAGAGAGATGGTCTGATTCATTCATTAAAATCTCCATACACTGAAATTCATTCAGCAACATTTTTGAATTCGCTACATTAGAATTCTTTGTATGGGGGTTATCGTCTGCGTAAAGTAAGGTTTTATGTCATGCTTTGATCCAAGAATCTCTTTGTATGATTGTGTCCTTGCTTAGAGCTCCTGTTTTGTCTGTTCTATTGCATGTGCAGAGAAAGATAATTTTGACTTGTACAAATAGCTCAGTAGAAGGAGGTTGTACTTTATATGTAAAGAACTCCCATATAAGTGAAACCTGTGATTTTAATGCATTTAGGTCTTATTCCTGGGCCCATAATATTTGCCGTAACATGTGATATGGCCTAGGATTGTTAGTCTTAAGATTCTGATAGAGGAGGATTACAAAAGGGCCAACTCATCGCCCTGATGATGGAGGCAGTATGACCTCTGAAACGTTGGTTTACATCGCCCAGATTACACAGCGCAACAACCCAGAATACAGAAATCTTCATACTCATCGCCCTGATGACGGAGGCAGTATGACCTCTGAAACGTTGGTTAACATCGACCAGACTACACAGCGCAACAACCCAGAAGGCGGAAATCTTCATATTCACCGCTGTGAGAACCTCAAGTCTTAAAAATTTTCTTTATTGATGGTCTGAAATTGTAGCTTCAATGAAATAAGGAAAACTACAGAATTTTGGTGAGGAATACTCTTCAAAAGCAATCATTTAGAAGACTAAGACAGAGAGGAGAGTAATGAGATAATGCATTGTAAGGAAATAGCTTTTAATAGTAGAATCTACAACTTCAGCTTTCTGGCATAAGTCACATGGAATGTTGAAAATTGTTCAGTGTTTCAGCAAACACCTTTTATTTGAATGAGTGGTTAGTCTGATAATCGTTTGCTGTATTTTGTAAGTTGTAAAGGGTGGTCTTATTGAAACAACACTGGAGAAAGCGTAAGAACTAGTAAGCTAAACATTATATATTCTTATATTTCTTATAAATTGCACTACGTACTCCATCCTGATTCAAGGATACTGTTTGGATAGTTAAATACATTTCAACAGCGATACCTCTCTGATTCCTGATATTAATTGTCTCTGATGTTTGTCTTCTTGCTTGTATTTCCCCATCTTTACTGTCTTGTTGTTTCTATTATTATTTGAGCTTAATCTTACAGGCTGCTATCTCTTTTTGACACCCAAATGTCCAATTGCTTGTTTTCATGCCATAAGATCTTCTGGTGTTTGTTTCCTGCTTGCATGAACAGATGTGAGTGGAAGGAAAATTATTTGTGATATCCTTTTTTTATACAAAAATTTCTTCTCATTTAAATAACTGGCATTTATTGATGGAAACTGACATATATAAGTGCATTTTCTTCCAGAATTTTTGTATGTATTTCCATTTTTAAAAAAAGATTGAATATTATACATTTTTATTATAGGTTTAATTACCGCTTCCAAATAACAGACGTCTTCATTTAAATAAACTATACAACAGTTTGTGTGTGTGTTTGTATATATTGTTTTATGTGACCATTTTACACCTAGTTTTGAAAATCCATTTTCATTCTTCCTGACAAATCTTAATCCCATTTTGCATGGAAATTTTTACCTTCTTTTTTTCTGCTTATGTTTATAATAAATTTTTTTTCAGTAAATCAAATCACGTGAGTCTTGAAGAATTTACGACTTTGTTTTACGTTGCAGATGACGAAGGGATAGCCGAATCAGGAATGTGAGTCTCGCCCGCCGACTTGGTGGTCAAGCCACAAACTGAGTGTTATAAGGGACGACTAGAGAGCCCACAAACTTGACATACTCCACATTGGAGGGTAAAATCTCGGTAATCTGTATGTCCTGTGCAGGGCACTTTGGACTGTTCGTACAGAATTTTAATTACTTAAGCCTGCCCAGTGACATGGACAGTGGCATCATAATACAGAACAAATGCTGCTACACTGAACTTTTCTTTTGTGCTTAGAAACTAAGAAATACTTAAGAATTCAAAACACAATTTTGCTTGGTGACCTTTGGTTTAAACTTTAACTGCAGGATATTTTAAATTATTTCTAAAATGTAGATTGGTTTTTTGTTGATGGCTGTCTTGTGGGGTGTAGCACCACGTCACATGGTAGAAGTTTACCAGGCTACACAGCGCTACAACCTAGAAGATAGCCGTCTTTGTACTCACCACCATGAGAACCTCAAATCTTACTTATAATCTGTTGGAAGAGAGATGGTCTGATTCATTCATTAAAATCTCCATACACTGAAATTCATTCAGCAACATTTTTGAATTCGCTACATTAGAATTCTTTGTATGGGGGTTATCGTCTGCGTAAAGTAAGGTTTTATGTCATGCTTTGATCCAAGAATCTCTTTGTATGATTGTGTCCTTGCTTAGAGCTCCTGTTTTGTCTGTTCTATTGCATGTGCAGAGAAAGATAATTTTGACTTGTACAAATAGCTCAGTAGAAGGAGGTTGTACTTTATATGTAAAGAACTCCCATATAAGTGAAACCTGTGATTTTAATGCATTTAGGTCTTATTCCTGGGCCCATAATATTTGCCGTAACATGTGATATGGCCTAGGATTGTTAGTCTTAAGATTCTGATAGAGGAGGATTACAAAAGGGCCATTCTAAGCTAACCTTTAAATCTGACGGGTGCTGTAAAGGCTTCATAGTGCAAAATATCTTAAACATTTCTTAAGCTACAGATTCTCTTGCTAGAAAGGTCAGAGAAGCATAGCAAATCAGCTGGGTAGAATGAAGAACGGAAGTTTTTTTACAGCAGAAGGTAACATTCTTAAGATGACAGCGAAAATAGGTACTCTGTTTTTATCGACATTGGTTGTTGATGGTTGGGCTGGAATATGTAAGCGCTCTGAAACCAGCCGCAGTACATAACATACACGTGGGAGTGTGTGGGTAGCAGTGATTACATAACGATACCGCATAACGGGCGCACCTGGAAACTGTCACACAGCTCAGGTTACAAAATGCAACTGGGAGCAAGGGAAGATTGAAATTAAATTTTATTTAACTGTCTGCGGGTCATTAATGCAGAATGGGAAGAAAGTTCAGAACTTGTGGTTAGAGTAAAGCATTGATTAAAATGAACTCTATAGAGCGTGACTGCTATAATTTATGTAACATGCGGTGGGTTACTGATGGAAGTTGGGTATCTGAATGAAGTGCAATTTGGATTTGAAAGAAGAAATTCTTCGACCATTGCAAAGGATATTTGTGCTTGCTGGAATTCATAATATCCCAGCTAAAAGTACTTCTTATAGCACAAGTCTTAGCCCCACTACAACTGTATATTTGTAACTGATCGCTTCAGTTGGAGAGACGTTCCTGTACGTGTGTACTGTAATAACGTGTTCTACATTCCTGTCCCATCCTCTGCTTTATGATCCCTCTCACGTGTTAGTTTTTCAAACATACGAACAAAACTTACACCAGAGAATAGATAAAAGTCTAGGCAGTCATTTTAATTATTCGCTGAATACCGGCTTTATCACAGGTCTTAAAATGTTTAATAGTTTTCTTAATTCTCTGCACATTTTTATTATAGACACAAACATGGCTCCTCTAGTAGCACAGATGGACACGCGTAGAAATTATTTTTCACTGAAGTGTTGAAGGAATGCTGGAGCTAGGCAGTACTTGGTACAATGTGAGCTAGGACACATACAGAAAATTAAAATGCTTGTTTCTGGCATCTTTAGCTAAAATCTATAGAATGGGTACGGGCGCTGAAGTCGCGTGTGCGTGTGCGCACTTCATAATTCATATAAGTGCCTTGATTACTTCGTCTTTCATTCTATATCCGATATTCTATTGACTGTGCCTGTAATGTATAAGAAGTTCCACTGGCTTCTGTGAGCATTCACATGACTTGGTTGAGTATTTACCTCCTGTGGCTGTAATTCACACCCATAACAATCCTCAAAATTTCTGTCTGCATTTAATCCTTTCAGTTCTTTGTTCCTAAATCACATTTCCTTGCCAAATATATTTTGGCAGTGCTAACCTTAAAATCTGTTTACTTCAGTTTGCTGACTTTCCATAATGTTCGGTAGAAAGGAAGAAAGATGTTTTGTAATCCACTTATTTATATTCCATGTCATGCCGAAGTCTTTATGTTTGGAATATTTGTTTGCTATATATAATATTTCGTCAGTAACGGTTATATACTTTTGTCTGTCGGCAGATGGTAAAGTGTAAATGAGGATTGTTTATAGCAGTATTATGTGATACTTTGAGCCAATTCCTTATAATAATCAAGGAGAATTTCAGTCATGATATTAAGGAAATAAATAATACTCACATAGATCACAATAATATCCTTCTGATTGCCAGTATGAAATGCATCTTTTTCTGTCTAGTTTTCTGTGTAAATTGAGGTGGATGGTATATCTGTATTATGAATATGCACGTCTCTAGCATGAAGTTGTTCATCACATCCGTCCATGTTTCTTTATAGCAGAAGCTGGCACATTGCTAACACAAATTATAATTATTCAAATGTCTAATAATTGGACTTCAGGAAGCTTATGTCATAATCTA